GTGACAAGTTGATTATAAAAAAAAGAATCTGTCATATAGGTAGATAAATATAATTAACCTGTGATATAGGTTGATTATTAAAATTAAAAATAAAATCTATAAATGGGGTTTAAAGTAGGAGGAAGAACGAGAAATAACAAAAAGATAAATAAAAAGAAATAAGCAAAGAGATAATTGGGAAGAAATTTGATTTTTATAATAAATCTTATCATTGAACAAATAACTATTGATAATTAGATAATTAAATATAACAAATTGGACTTATTTTAATAAATTGGACTATTCATACTATTGGCTCAAAAAATTGGACTTATATCAAGTTTCCCCTTTTTTAATTTGGTGGGGGAATAGTATTTTTTTTCGTATTATATCTTATATAGCATGCTTCCTTATTATATATATATATATATATATATATATATATATATATATGTATGTATGTGTGGTTGGATTAGTGTATCTTAGTGAAATACACTTCAGTTCTGTTTATTGGGATAGAGGAGAACAACAAAATTCATGGAAAATTTTGAGAGATGAAAAATGATAAGAGGAAAATTTGAGCAAAAATGTACGTAGAGAATACTAGATGAATGATTTATTTTTGCATATATATATATATATATATATATATATACACACACACATACATATATACTATATATATTCTCTCTTTTCCTAGTCCCTCCTTCCCTCCACCATCTTTCTAACGCATATCGGCATATACATACTTCCTTCAAGATTTAGCACTAAAAACTAAGGATGGTGCTATCTTCGCACACTTATTTTTACTTTTCACACATTTATTGTCAATTTCTGTCATTTGATATTTTTAAATTTATTTGATCTGACGACAAAAATGAGAGAGCGTTTAGGAGGTAAAAACACACGAGTGGACAATATCACTCGAAACTAAAAGCGAAATGTCACTCACCTTTTCTTCCTTTCTCCCCCAACACATACGCAAGAATCAATTGTTAATGTCAGATGCAATAATAATAGTCTGAGTGCTATAGTAGTTTGGTCCAAGCCTAGGGCTTTTTTTTCTTTAACATGGTGTTTCACATATATGTAAACTATGAAAATAAATTTTAGAAGCTTATTGTGAAGAGTACGCCTGCATATTTTCCTTCCATAGGGTATTGTAACTTCGTAATGCCTTAATGGCTTGGTGCTTAATAGAAAATGAATCTGTACACAGTTCAATACACAAAGAAGTAATTTTCACTCTCCCTGACAAACCCAAGAGAACTACATCAATGGAATTTTAGGATTGATGTTTTGAACACTTCCTTATGGTCATGCAGATCACCCTATCAATTTCTTATGGTCATTTTCTGGTAAGCTTCGGACATTTTATATATGACTTGATGCATAACCACTTTAACGATAAAACCCAAAATGACCCTAATGTTTACAACAACAAAAACCCTAATGTATAGATTTTTTATTTTAGGGGATCAAAATTTATAATATTAAAAAATATATGAACGAAATTTTCTCACACTAATGCACCGAACCAAACAAAATTACAAACTATAGCCCTTACATTTACAGTTGGCAGCACATTTTTCAATATGTCAACCTGATTTCAGACTATGCATTTCAATTTTTATTATGCAGTTGTGCATTAGGTGATACGAAAAAGGAATAGTTGAAACAGAACATAAAAAATTTAACAGTCGTAAAAATCAAATTAAAATTTTAGATCACATGTAACATTTAGTTCTACGTAACATTGAAGATGTTACACATACAAAATTACAATTTTTTTCTTCTTTTTATAACAATGTAGAGTGGTCATCATTACTGTACCAAACAATTTTGTATTTTTGGCTTGCAAAATCATGTATCTAGGTAGGGTCCCTCAGAGTGATCCATTATTAGGCCTCTATTCCAATGGGTCGCTCAGAAACCCAAATAGTGAACCTAGGTATACCCCAACTATGATCGATGTGTCCCGGTGAGGAAATGCTACATTGTACGAGAACTATCTCTGAAGATTGTTTGCCTGTTTTAAACTAGTTGTGACAATAGCTATGATGCATCGTCAATCCATGGAGGAGGCATTGATTAGCCTCTACGGTCCCCGGCACCTGATCAGATGAATTTAAGGGTAAAGGTTCTGATTGATGGGTCCAAACTATATGATCACTCTCATCAGTTACTCTGCATGTGCATCTCATGTACTGTACTCTAGCTACTAGATAACAAAGATCATGATTATTGTGTAATGATTCTTTGATATTTGATACAATTGATGATAAGAAAAGTTAAAAACAATAAAAAGGCATAACCCCATCTTTTCATTACTTCAACTTTTAAGCTTCTTAGGACACTATTTTTTTTACGCACCGCTTGGTTCTATGTAACTAGAGTGACGATTGTCATATTTGTATTGAGAATCCATCACTTTTTCATTTTGCACTTGCAAATCCGTATATTTTTGTTATCTCTGAACACTAATATAAGTAATAAGTGCATATCATATAACAAGTTAATTGGAAGTACAAAGACAACTTTCTTTTCCTTTTCCCTGGTTTTTGTGTTGCTGGAAATAAGTAAGAACGATCACAAACTAATACATTGAGATGTGTGAAGATATAGCAAATGAAATATTAAAGAAGAAGAAAATTTTCTTTTCATTTGATTCATCATATTATATAGAGTGACTGAGAGAGATATGTATAACTCGCATACAACATAACTCTTCTATATATAACCAAACCGTACGTGTCTGGAAAATTAGGTTAGGTAATACAAGTTTACAAAATTGTATTATTTTGTATCAAGAATCCAATATAGTGTATCCGCAACATAGATGCAATATGATCATTGATATGAAAAGTGAACTATATTGTACAAGGATAAATGCATCGTCATGTACCTTCAGACAAATATGATATCTTGATACGAAAAAGTGATATTGTGATGCGTTAAGATTATATATATATATATATATATATATAGTTGTTTCACATATATGAATATTAATTAAATCGGTTCTTAACATAATTTTATGTTCATCACGTGGATCTTGCTTAATAGATATAATGATGAAATTTGAAATTGAAAAACGCATTGAAGGATTATATATGAAGAACTTCATTCATTATTTTGAATATGAATTCAAACCTATGTATCTTAAACTGTGTTAAACTTAATTGCACTTTTCTAGTCAAGTTTATATAGGAGCCACATATTATCAATCATACTAACAACCCTTAAATCAAGTTATCAGCGATATCAATAATATTGACCACATATTCGTGTTAATACAATTAATTAGAGAAAAATTGGAGTTAACTATATTTTATGTCATCCCTCGTCTCAGTGGTGAAGCTATGAATTTTCAGCAGAAGGGAAGAAATTTAAAAGAGTAAAAGGTTTAGAAAAAATGTAGACAACCAAATCCTTGTAAATAGTAGACAATATTAATGTCGTTCATAACTACCTGGAATACTTGAATGAGGATTTGGAGTAACCAAAATATTCAAAGAAAGATTATCTGGAAATATTCGAAGAAGGACTATCCGTTGTACCAGAATATTTGAAGAATGATTTAAACATTGTTTTTTATAGTATTGTTACATACATTATGTAATTGTACAATAGAAACAAAATAGATAAAACGCATATTACGCTAATTCTATATCAATTAAACAATTAATGCAAAAAACCACTTACAAATTGTAGGTATTATAGTCGTCAAACAAGGACACAGATCCTCTCCGGATCTGAGCCTAGGGATCAAAAGATCCGGGCCATTGAAATTCAATCCAATGGTTACAATTATTATAACTTTTAAGGAGGCCCCTTGTTTGTAGCCGTTGGGTCAAATTTTAATGGCCCGGATCTATTGATCCCTAGGCTCAGATTCGAAGAGGATCTATGTCTGTCAAACAATGTGCATAGTTATTAATTTTAGATAAGTATGATAAATGTTTTATATAAAAAATAGATAAGTATACCTAGTTCATAAAAGGAAAAAATTAAATAAAACATCAAACATAACAAATAAAAAATTAATTAGACATGCTTGGGTTCAAATGACGTGTGGGCATAAAGGTCAAAGGATTTGTTCTATTTGAATAAAACTTCATCGTCCACTTTAAGTGCTCAGCCAAACCGCATCGTTTGCTAAGATTTGTTTTATAATATTGCTGCTTCTTCCTCCTTCTGACCTAGCCGCCGTTGCTGTTCGGGTTTTGCCCTTCCTCACAAGGTGGTTTTAGGCAGTTTGGGTGGGTAAAATAGGCTTCAGTGAAAGGGTTTTTCGGGAGCCAGATGGGCAACTTCCCACTCTCCATAACGTGTGTCAGCCCATGGCAACTCCAGAAGTTGCAGAACATTCTTACAGGTTTTCCGACTAACGAGAGGGGTGGCTACACCCTCATGGGCTTATTTTCCGGCAAGAGGAGGGGCGGCCACCCCTCCTTGCCCCTATGTAGCTTCGCCCCTGCCTCATCTTAAGTGATTTTAAACATACGCTAAAATAAATCGTACAAATTCATGTTTGTTGTTTATTTCACAATACGATCCTCTTTTAAATGAATGTAGTAAACGATGTGGGATCCATTTCTAAGCTGCATAGAAGTCACACTTACATATACAAATATTAGGGCCAAACCTTATAATTAGTTATCTACGATGAACATTGACTTCAAGAGAAGCCAAAGTTCCATGACGACTAGTTTTGGCCCATATGCTACAAGTATATGGTTTTCACATTTGATATGTCTCACATTTATCACATCAACAAAGCACAAGACAGTCAAATAGAAATAGGACAAAATTTGATATGTTTTCAAATCTTATACAGCAATGTGCGAAAACTAAAACTTGATCCTTTTTAAAACTATTCCAAACTTGATTTAGGTATATGTTATTAGCCCGAAAAATTATATCATGTTGATTCTCTTTTAAAAGAAGTTATTAGTTTTGAAGTTCCATACCAAGTTTGTCTATCTAGCTTGTGGCTACTACTTTGGGACCGTGATTTGGAAAAATGTCAAAAATGACGGAGGCCTCTAGCCATCACTTCAATTGCCTATATTTTTTTTTTCTTTTTTCTTTTTTTTCTCCAAAATTTTGAAGGAGATTTAAACTTCAATTGCATATATATTTTGTTTCTACGTAGTAGAAAACTTTGGAAAAACTTTGGATACTTTCTTTGAGAAAAGACGTATGACAGTGAGGTTGATCATGATAAATGATGATTTGAATTTGTAGGGTACCAACGTATATGAGATGGAAAGTTAGAAAGTTAGAAAGTTCGATTAGCTAAGCTAATTGGCATAGGAGTTAGAAATCTGATGATTGAAAATTGTCTCTCGTTTTGACTTAAAAGCCTACCACTGAATAAAATATATTTTTTTTCTAGTGTACTACGCTGTCCAAGTCCAAACCCTTCTATACCATTATTAAGGCATATCATCCCTCCCCAAGCAAAGTACATTTCAAAAGGTGTGAGACCTTTGTTTCCTCAAGAGAGTTTAGTTGATACCCAAGAGATCAAAGGCTTGACTTCTTTCCCAGAGAGAGAGAGAGAGAGAGAGAACGAGAGAGATGGGGAGGGCTCCTTGTTGTGACAAAGCAAACGTGAAGAAGGGACCATGGTCACCAGAAGAAGACTCAAAGCTAAAGGAGTACATAGAGAAATATGGGACTGGTGGGAATTGGATTGCTCTCCCACAGAAAGCTGGTAAGGGTTCAATTCTTCTCCCTCTCCCTCTCCCTCTCCCTCTCTCTCTCTCTCTCTCTCTCTCTCTCTCTCTCTCTCTCTCTCTCTCTCTCTCTCTCTCTCTCTCTGTTGTTATTTATGTTTGGGTTCATTAAATTGGGTGTTTGGATCAGGTCTGAAGAGATGTGGGAAAAGCTGCAGATTGAGATGGCTTAACTATCTGAGGCCAAACATCAAACATGGAGAATTCTCTGATGAGGAGGACAGAATGATATGCAGCCTCTATGCTAGCATTGGAAGCAGGTAACTCTCTACTCTACTCTTACTAAATATATTAATTAATTTCTCTTTTTACCTAATTTCCAAAGCTATATTCTAGAGTCTACTTTTTTTTTTTTCCTTATATCAACTGCTATCATGAAAGATGTTGATGACCTATCCAAAATCAGTACCAAAGAAAAGGAAAAAAAGGAGAAAAAGAAAAGACAAAGATTAGTTCATGTTTTTTTTCCCTTATTTTATCTTGTTTATAGAAACTGCATATATCAAGAATCTGCTATTTTTGGATATTTTCACTGAATGCATGCCAAGTTTGGATCTAGCATCAACACCCACTTACAGCTGTTAAGGGAAAGCCAGAACAAATTTCTGCTTCTTCTGGTACTTATTGAATAATTATATATGTAATTAACAATTAATCAATTGTAATTAACAACAGGTGGTCAGTTATAGCTGCTCAGCTGTCAGGCAGGACTGACAATGATATCAAGAACTATTGGAACACCAAGCTCAAGAAGAAGCTCATGGGGATGCATATGGCTTCTCCTCCAGCTCGTCACCACCATAGAAATTTACTAAAACCTCCCCCATTTCCTTCTTCTTCTCATCACAGTTACCAAAACCAATCATTGATTCAATCTGAAACTCTCTCATCACTGTACAAAGACCTAAGCAATTACGACAGATCTTTCTTAGGGTTTGAAGTGCCACTGCCACTGCCATCACAAGTTTCACTGACATCCAATAATTTCTCAAATACTTCCACCAACTCCTTTTCTCTTTTCCAAACCCTAAATTACCCAGCTGGAGTGAAGAAAAATAACAACAATAACCTCCTCATGTTTGGAAGTGAAGGAAGTTGCAGTACTTCATCTGCTGGAAGCTGTAATAACCAGATCAGCTATGACTACTGCAGCAGATCAGAGATTAATAACATCAAACAAGAAGAAATGGGTTTTGATCATCAGAGCTTCATGATGCTTAACTTTGGCAACCAATGGACTGAGAAGCCAAATGGGTTTTATTTTGAAGCAGAAAACAACACATTAGAGTTTACTGATCTGGATGAAGATGTTAAGCAGCAGCTGATTAGTACTAGTAGTAAAAATACTCATAACAATGATACTATTATTAATGGTTCCTCTACGTCTAACTGCTTATTATTCAATGTTGATGAAAGCAAGACAGAAGATGATGAGAAGGTTATGTATTTCTACTGAAGTTATTGAATGCTAGTAGCTGCTGAATGCTGAAGAGTTATTGAGTCTACTGACTGACTGTTGTAAGTAAAATGATCAGAAGGATTTGATGGGGTATGGTGAGAGGTGGTGGGGGAGATATTCCGAAAGATTGACTCAGTGGACTTCTATTCTATATGTTTCTGAACTCTGAATCTGATATATGCGATGATTTTTTTTTTTTTTTTTGACAGTACATGGTAAAGCCCTTTTTATTTTGTTAATTTGTGCATTTCATTTTGAGAGTACGTGAATGCTGATGATGATTAATATGATAAGTTGTTGTACGGTCCTTCACTGCAACGTCTTCAGAATTAAAAATGTGTCATGAAAGCTAGAAAGAACAAGAACCTTATGCAAACACGAACTGGTTTAACCAAGGCATGCAATGTTATCTTATTGTTTTTCATTTTCCAAAGCTTCATTTGTATAATTGATAACGGTGACCTTTGAGAATCACAAAGAATATATGTGTCAATATGTTAATTTTGTGTCTAAATAACATCATCAAAATCATACGTCTCTAGTCAAATGATAAAACTACCACCGGTAGCAGAGCCACCTTAGAACAGTATTAGAACAGGATAATCCCCCTGAAATTTTTTTCTTATAAACCTCTACTATATACAATCTATCAATTTGAATTTGGCCAATATAATACCATTATCAAATTGAGTTTAATAGTATTGGTAAGTTCTTTCAATCCAACAAAGAAATACAAGGGCTTTAGTTGTTTACATCAAAGATTCATAGCTATGGTTCTATAATGATATTAGTAAATCATATTTTCTCTTTTTTTCACTACAGAATTAAAAAAAAAAAATTCGCTTCGCTTGTAGAATATGATTTTGTTTAATTTTTCATCTCCCTCTATTATATAATCTATGAAATCAAGAGAGAAAGAAGTCATGTGTCCAAATTAGCACAACAAAGCCCTCCAAATTCTCTCGTACTTCATGTTTCTACAAAAAATGAAATATGTTCTTGTGGTCAGAATGAGAAAAGAAATTCATGGCTACTCAATCTTGAGTTTGATATCAAGAATAAATATAAATTAATGTCTTTTCATACTTTATTCTTCACATTTGATATCAAATTCAATTGTGAGTGATTATACATCCTTAATCACTAAAATGACCAAAAGAACGAGACGGTTTTATATATTTTTGTTGTAAAAAAAAAATTCCTTTATCCAATATAAATTCTATTTGACATAAATTCTTGACTTCGCTATTTGACTATCACTAAGTAACACTTTTTTTCCACATGAAACAAAGTTTTTTGTTATTATTGTTGTTGGTCTGTGGAGGGGGTGCATTACTGTTGCTTGGTAGTAAGGTTAATCACTCAGAATCTTTTATACGTATGATGAATCAGGTCAGACTGGAAGTGGGAACTTGCTTACTTCCAGTAAATTAAAGACAAAAAGATGATGCTGGAAATTTTGGAGTTTTGCAAAAGGCTCGAGCTCTAAAATATGGTTTATTATTAATAAATATGTCTCATAAAATATTATTAACAATGTCTCATAAAATATTTTGTGCAATAGTTAGAACCCGAGGGCGGCCATGAAGTTATTATATGTGTGTTTTGATGTGTTGATCAGTCCACAACCGATTGTCTTTGTAAAGACTCTTTAAAAGTAAGTTTCTTTATAAATTATTTGTATTTTTTATTATCTTATGTTTCTTAGCATAATATTTTTCAATATTAATACGAAAATTAACGTTAAATTATGAAATATCAAAAAATTCTACTTTAACAGAGTTTCCATGTCTCTTTTTCTGTAAGTCGGCATGCCAATGCCATGATGATAAGAATGGGTCGCCAGGAACAGTACTACTGTTAATAAATTGGACTCTACAAATAAAATTGGTTCCGCAAGAAACGAAGTAATGATTACAATTGATTAGACTGTACATTTGGGGAGGCGATATTCAATCGCGAGGTTCTTTGAAATAAGTTGTATTTTTATAAACGAAAAAGAAATAATATTGTCCATTGAAAGGAAAAACTGTTTGAGCTCAAAAGTAAACCAGAAAAATAAAAAATAAAAAATAAAAAAGCAAAAGAAGGTTTCTAAAATATAGAGGCAAATTCTCTGCCCTCCCATTTTCTATGCCCTTCTGTTTTGTATGGTCACAGTTAAGTCTCGTTAATATTTTATATTATTTTTTTATAGAGATAATAAGACAAAAATGAATAGTAATATAAAATGTTAACATGGCTTAACCGTGACCATACAAACAGGAGGGCACATAAAGTGTGGGGGGGGTAGAGAATCTGCCTCCCTAAAATATTTAGCTAGTGATAGTTATTTTAGTTAAAAATGATCCTTCAAATTAGTATAACTATTCACTTTTATTCTTAGCAATAAAAATTCATAAAAGTGGTCTCTAAGTTTGTGTACTGTAAAACATTTTGATCAATTCTTAAAAAATCTGTCAATATCCTCGTTAAGAGGTGGATTTGGTTTGACAAAAATACTTTTAAAAATGTGGTCACGTGGTTCTTCACACGACAATTCTACAATGATATTGACAGATTTTTCACAGAAAGACCATAATGATTTATAGTGGACAAAATCAGAAACCACTTCTATCGATTTTCATTGTCTGAGACCAAAGCAATGAGTTGTGTCTATCTCAAAGACCATTATGAATAAAAAGCTTCAAATTTATGCACCAATTTTTTCACCAATAATATGTCAGTTTATGGTTCACTATATATCTTACTTGTCAATAATAAAGCTGAGTTCAAATTTTAATCAATCAACTATTGCCACGTTACTTTTCGGAAAAAAAATTTTCCAGCCAATTATTTGGTAAATAAAACTTTATGAACAAATTTAGTGTCTCAACCTTAACTACTTCAACTTTAAACTCAAAAACCATTAGTCAATGGAGAAGAAAATTTTTATTTGAACCCACTTGTCTTATTTTTACACTAAACTAAAAAGTTTTATCTTTGACAAAAAAATTAAACTAAAAAGTTTTATCCACTAAGTTTTCAAGTTTATCCTTATATAACTAAATAAGAAAATAAAAATCGATATTTCTATCTCTACATCCAATGACCCAAAACCTGGCATGCCACTACCCTCCATTATTTTCGGCAAAACAAATTGCCAGCAAAATATTCCCTCGAAGCTGTCTAAGACTGTTATCTCCTTTCATTCTTTTAAATTTCCTAAGGCATGCAAATCCTTCATCCAAAATGTTTTTGTGTATCAAAGAAAATTCTTTATTTTTTACCTTTATTATTTTAACATACGATAGTATCTATACTAAGGGAGTGAGAGAGTGAGTTCAGCTTCATAATGGACTAACCATAATAATATAGTTTAAATTTGTCTTTAGTAAAAATCGAACCTAAGACCTATTACTTACAAATAAAGAGAAATATCACTAAACCGTAGTACTAAGTGGCGTATCAAAAAAAAGTTTTGAATAGCTTCTGTTTTTTTCTTCTAATAGCCCCATTCAAAATGTTTTAAAATTCTTTGAGGGATTGGGCTTAACATGACTGAAAAACAAAACACGTTTCAAGGCCACCCACCTCTCATTCTTCAAAAGAAATTAAACAACTCGTGATTAGGGGTGACAATTCATATCAATAAGTCGTGACTTGTGAAGATACAGTGTTAAATCACAGGAAATGAACATAACATGACTGAAATAAAATTACGGCTTGTTGAGTTTAATAAATTAACATGTAACAATAAAACATGATTCTTCTACCCGTTTATGGTAATGAAAATGTTAACCATCAAAATTTTGTTCTTTTGTTTTCTTTTTTGCCGAATTTAATTAAAAGAGAATTGAAACGCTTAGCCAAAAGACAAACAATTAACTAAAAGCAAATTTATTTACATGGATTTCGTTGTTGAGAAACAAAAGAGGTAACTGGTGTACTATCGCATTGCATGAGCAAGAGTTTGGCTACTCATTTACTTATTCTATTATAGCATCTCCAATAGAATAAGTAAATGAGTAGCCAAATTCTTTTTGATGATCAACATATGCAAAATTTAGCTCTAATAGAGTAGCTAATTGAGTAAGCAAACTTTGTCTACTCACCCAAAGTAGCAATATTGCCTACAATACCAGGAGTAGGCAAATTGGATCCCACTTCTCTTTTTATGGTAAAACATTTATACGGAGAAAGATAACATTACTAAAAGGTAAAAGTAGTGTTATAGATTAAATAAAATAATAAAATATAAATTTGCCTACTTGGTTTAGCTAATCTATTTGAGTGACAAATTTTTCTGTAAGGCAAGTAAGCAAGCACCAGTTTGTGGTAGCGAAAATCCGCCGACTTCAGTCTTAACGAAGTTATATATACAAAACAATAAACACCTTTGATCAAGGCTAAAGCCACACGCACGCCTACGAGGTGGGGGGGGGGGGGGTGACCAATGTACCTTAGATGCCTAAGTTAGTAATTCTGAAAAGAGTGAGTGTTTAAGGCTTGAGTATGTAGCAAAAGCTTACCACAAAATGGTATAGATGGAGTATTTATAGGGAGGTGGCCGACTATACGGTTAGAGTTTTGCCCTACACAAGGTGGCTTCCATTTAGCCAAGGTGTGTCATATGTAGGATGGATGAGGAAAACACTATCCCAAAGATATTAATTATGAGACAATATCTTGGGATTATCAAGTAAGTGTCCTTGTTTGATTGTGATGAGGATTCTTTACTTGTTTGAGTTGATCTTCAATCAGAAATGTATTAAATATATGATTTGATGATTAATCTTATGCTTTTAACTTTTTTTCACCACGAGTAGGAGAGGTTGGTGTAGTCGTAGTCAATTGCTCGAGCCTCTAGAGATTTGTTGAACTGTATGTGGGAATTTTTGTGTGTACTACTCATTTAATGAGGACAAAATTATCTTTTTTTTTAAAAGAATTTATATATCGTCTTTTGAATTTTTAAGATTATTTTTCCCCCCACTCATACCATGTTTTATGTGACATCCCACATCGCCTAAGGGAGTGATCCTTATATGTATATTCTCATCTCTACCTTGCACGAGGCCTTTTGGGAGCTCACTGGCTTCGGGTTCTGTAGGAACTTCGAAGTTGAGCAAGAAGGGGGCTAGAGCAATCCCATGATGGGTGACCCACTGGAAAGTCATGGTGTGCCCGTTTTCTAGAGATTCAAGGCTTGTGTATACCAAGAAAGCATTCAGAACCACCATATGTATTAATGGCCAAACCCTATCACAAGATGAATGTACTCCTTGCAATCTGGTGCCCTAGAATTTTTTTTCCTAACAATTCGGATAGACCTAAGTCTATTCCCGCACCATACTCATTGAAAATACCCATCTTGCACTACATCTACACAATGTAGTCATCCATGCATGCATAAAAATGCATAAACACTTGAATACAAGCACTGTGAATGGCTCAAGTACCATGAATCAGAACAACCTCTGATCATGTTTCTGAGGGAGGGTAGGGAATCTAGTAATAAAATAAAATGCTTAACATAGTGGTTAGCAGATGAATATTGTTATGCTTACGATACACATGATGCGGTAGGCCAGTAAACCAATTTTTTTTTTTTTTTTTTTAAATCAAATCCTATACAATCAATTAAAAGCACGAATAAGAAAATTGAAACTAACCAGAAATTCAGGTACCATGAACTCAAGAAGCATCAGCTGTGACTTTTCCTATAGTTTTAAGGTCAAAGATCTCGATCCAATAACCATCAGGATCCTTAATGAATGCAATCCCTTTCATCTTTCCTGCAATCAACATCACAAAATTAAGGAACCAGAAATACATAAATATTTCCCCATTCTGTATTTCTTCAAATAAAACAGTGCAGGAATCTAAAAGGGGGTGTGCTAATAATCCAACAACCAGGGAGTAAGTGAGAATGAAAAGAAATGGTCATGGTCATCCACCCGAAGATAAGGAAACACACATCTTGCTCGTTCCTTATTGTAAGTTTGTAACCAAACGCATGATTGAACTAGAAGATAACAGACATGCATATAGGAGCACGCACCCATCTATGCACATACATCCATACATCCTTAAAAACCATAATGCTTCCCAAGGGGCTTTGGTACAAACTTATAATTACTGCTGCTGTTAATTCAGGAAAGTGATGATCTTTTGGTTAACTGAAACCATCTGCGTTACTTGTAAATAGCGTATACAACAGAGACTCCCTACAAACTGATAATAAAAATTATCAGTTTATTTACATAAAAAGGATCTAAGGTGACCCAATCAATCCCCGCCAATTATATGTGCTAATGTTCAATGAGGTCCAGCTTTCCAGGATACATCTCATACTTATTAATAGATTCTACTATATATGTGTTCTTACCATCATCTGGCTTTTTCACAAATTCTACCCCAAGACTTTCAAATCTCTCACATGCCTTGTATATATCATCAACGGTGATGCCAATGTGTCCTGAGTAACAAAATTAGACAGTTAGGGCAGCCACTGTGAATGCCAGAAAGTAGAATTGATTTAAGGCAGAGTCTGTCAGAATCACTATGTACAAAGTAGAAAAAGTACATGTAACATGCTTGATCAACCACTACCAGTGGCCATCAGGCAAAGCTACAAGGAAAAATGACTGAGGAACATTCACATTATTCACATTTGCAGCAATATATGATTTAGGGTTTAAGGTTGCTGATCCAGTATGAATTTCAGTAGTTGCTGATCCTGTCCACAAATCGAGCCTTCCTGATAATTAGACCAACTGAGCATTGGAAGCTCTCTTATCTTTTGTTTAAACATGAAAACATTTTACTCCATACCACACTTTATATAAAGATACACACCGAATCCATACAAAAAAGTTTATGCTTTAAAATTTTGTTTATTGTTGAAAAATGTAGCCTAATTTTTTTATAGGCAGAACTAAGCATTACGAATGTATTTTAAGTTCATGGTTCAGAGAGAGTCCAAATGTATGCATTTCTTGGAACCATCAATACTTGCTGCATAAGAAGAAATGACATAATACCTGGCATTTCGCATTAAATGGAATAGTTAATCAAAGTCTAAGTAAGGGAAGAAACAACTACATTATATAACATAAAAATAAGAACCGTATGTTTTAACGCATTGATAGGTCGTTACATACCAAAGCCACGAGGTTCTGAATTCCCATTGTGATATCCTTTGAATTCTGGATCACTTTCAGTACCCCAATTACTGGAAATATAAGTGATTGTCAGATATTACCGAGAGCATTCGACACAAATTGTAAAAAAAAAAAAAACAAAAGACCGTGTAGGAAAAACAAAAGAATCTCACTGTGTCAACTCAATTGTAGCCTTCCGACCAAAAGTCCAAACTGTTCTATCAACCGAGTTAGTTGGAGCTGAAGCAGGGTCCTATTCCAGAAAAAATTCAAATAAAATTAAACGTCTCTGGAGGACAATTTTTAGAGACATACTATCACACACTTTAATTGCATATAGGGGTTTGACAGATTAAAATGTGAAAGGCCAAATTGCTCCTTTAAGAAGAAGCATTAAATAGGACGTCGGAGATGTGTCAGATGGTTGAGGGAATGGAAAAACAGTAATCCAACTACCACTGTAAAACCAACAAGAGCACCTAGTATTAAACGCCGGTATAGCAGATGGGACATTATGAATTTTACCTCATAGCCCAAAAAGTACAAACTAAACTTCATTTCGGGAAAATCGAGCTTCTTAAGTAGCCTGAACAATAGTATAAATCACCGTCAATTTCCACTTAAAGAGTCAATTTTTCAACAACATCCAGTTACAGAATCTCCAGCCATAGCAAAGTGCATACATGCATGTTTACATACACACTCATACAAAAACCAATCAAAGAGGCATTACATCACTTGATAACACAAAAACAACCCAACTGAAATCCTGCTATCATGTCCCGTTAAATCCAAAGAAAATGCGAGGTATCCATAGACAAACCTACCAAAAGTCAACATCAAAACTAACATCCTGACACTTTAAACCGATATTGATATGCCTGTTCTTCCTTTTGCTCCATTATTTGTGCAGATTTCTAACAACAGAGACAAACCCACCCAAAGTATGATGCACTAGAATTCTAGATATTAATCAACTCTACCCTCCATACACAAAAACACAATAATTTCACGAACCAAAAAAATTCCTCAAAATGCCAATCTTAACTCATACCCAGCGCAACAAAAGCATAATAAACAGAAGAGAAAGAATTTCATATCAAAACGCTGGAAACAATAACAAAAACTTACGACATTCCCAAAACACGCGAATAAAAGTCAAGACTGGCTTTCGGGTCCTTAATTCGGAACATCTGCAATCAAAATTCACAATAAAAATCCATTTCTACAGAAAAATTAAATACAAACTTTATATCTATTCATTCAAAGGGACGCGGTTGCATACAGTTTGCTGCATGATGTAACCCTTAGTGGCTTCATCTGGGGTGGCCTGGAGGCCCGGATTGTTGGCCGGAGATTCTTTCGGTTCGGACGCCATTGAAGAAAACAATCGGAATCGGTATTTCGGATTCGGACCCTGCAAAGACACACTAAAGTAAGAGAGCAACCGAACTATCGAATCCCGAAGGATATAGAATATGTAAGATGAATTTGGACCTTGGGCTTGGGGGAAAAGAGTGGGATTGTATAAGGAGATGATGGGGAGGGTTTGGGTGCCAATCGGATTAGGGAGAGGCGGGAAAGGACGGTTGTGATTGCAGAAGCAGAAGAAGCCATGGAGGCCTCTTGTGACTTGTGAGTGCGAGAGAGAGAGAGAGAGAGTGATTTTACCTTGTGCGAGAAAGGAAACCAGAGGAGGACAGGGCTCTCTCGTGCGGGAGATTTTGGAGGTCTCTCTGCGCCTTTATTTTCTTTCGGCTTTTTCTCAAGATGGTGCATGCATTTATATCACTTTGCTCTGAGATTTAAAATAAATATAAGTGATTTTGAGATTGTTTACTGTCAATTAGTTTATTTTTTCTTGTGAGAATTTTTCATCAAATTGAGAGTTTTTTCAAATTACCCTTCTTCTTAAACTTGTGATTTCTTTAATTTAACAAAAAAAATTCATAGAATGATTAAAATGATTGATAGTGAACAATTATAGGGACTGTTTCTATTGATTTTAAATATCAATAACCAAAATGAGAAATTATACTAATCTCAATGACTATTTTAGCTAAAAGCTTTTTCTTTCCTTTGTATGATTTTTTATTTATTTTTTTCATACAAAAATATTTTACTCTAACTAATAATCTAGTTCCAGGGGAAGGAGATTAGAGGAAGGAGATTGAGCAAGACCGATAATTAGGATCAAATTCAAAATATAATACATTCTCATTATCTAGTTAGTTGAATCGTAAGATCTATCACTAGTTAAGAGAATTATCACGAAACTGCATTACTAGTTAGTTCATATGGATAATAAAGTTTTATGTATAAATCTTGTAGATGATAAGTTTGAAATCAATTTATTTTTAGGAAAATTAATGAAAATGACTTCAAAATTTTGCATTTCAACCATAAACCATTTGATAGTCTTATTTAATAATAAAGATAAAAAAAGAAAAAAACATCAAATATAAACATGTATGAATTAGCTAACTGTAACAACGATGACATCCATTTTTAGGCCTTTGACAAAACAAGATAACACAAACACACGTTTAGTACTATAATCTCGTAAGGTGTATTTTCATATATATAATAAATAATATATATAAAAGTGATAATGTCGATTTCACTCGTACTTACTTAAGGTAAAAGAAATAATATACATATATACACCGTTAAATTTCATAAACAGTGTAATACAGTGTAGTAAGTTTCATAAATAGTATGTGTGAGGACACCCGGTCCCGTGGGTCAGTTTTTTTTTAAAAAAAAATTTAATATTAAAATTATGTCTTTTTCATTAAAACTTAAGTTCTTTTGTCATTTTCATTAAAATTTAAGAGTTTTTCATTAAAATTTGAGTCTTTTTCCTTAAATAAAGTTATAATATGGTTTTTGATTAAAATAAACTTAGTACAAGCCATTTTCATAAAAATTCCCTTTATTTTTGTCCTTAAATTATTACTCGAGTAAAAATTAAATCAATCTTAAATTCAGAGACCATATCAACAGTTTACTAAAGAAATGAAAGAGATTGTATTGCTAGTTGTTAGCCCAAAACCTTCACTTATGCCACGCTTGAAATTTTGCTTATATTTATCACAAATACAACGTTTAAATAAATATTTTGTTCCAAAAAACAAATATCACAACAATAGGGTACAATAATGCTTAGATACGGACGGGAGAGCAAGGATTTAGGAACGTGTTTCGCTAATTAAAAAGGGTGTGTTATCCACACATTTCATTTTATTTCCTACATAACCTTATAATTTGTAGCCATCGGATCCAACTGAATTAAAGAAGTTTAAAGAGTAGAAATTAACAAAAGATATGTGAGAAATAAAAAAGAGTGTGTGGATAACACACCTCTTAAAAAATACAGGTATGTTTGATTCTAAATGGATCAAAACTTCATATTTATCCTAATTAACAAAAGGTCAATCGAGTTTCAAAGACATTAATGCACCTAAACTTGACAAATTACAAACTAGTGCCGTTACATGTAGAGATGGCAACGTTTTTCTCAAAATTTTGATATTTTTGGATAGGTCGGTCATCCCGGCTTTAGACTCTGCATTGTAATTTCTATTTTCCACTTATGCTTATTCAGATTCTGCATCGAAGTTTCTATTTCATTGTAGTCGAATTAGTCACAACTTATATTAGATGTTAGGGATACCTAAATTTTACATCCTCAAGGTTTAAGATGATTATTAAACTGGGCCAAAAAGTTTCAATTTTCTCAAATTGCTCCCTAAAGTTTTGAAATTGTTTCAATTAGCATCTCTTGTATATTTGAACGTCTAATTATCCTTTACATTGATCAGTTTTTTAGGTTATGTTGTGCAAATGTGACCCAGTTATGGATTCCATCACCATGTCATCAATTTAATGAAAATTCAAATGATTCATTAGACAAAAGGTGTACATGTATTGTCAACTTTTGTGTACATGTATTGTCAATACCCGATCTCGAGATATGCTATCATGCCTCGCTTCGAGACATGACCAAAAACAAAACAATGGTTCAACATCGCATTACCTTTTTCTTTTATATCATGACTGAATCTAACCTTTGTGTTAGACTGCCTACATACCCTAACACGGATCAAGCCATTCGTAGTTCACAGTTTGATAAACTCTGACATTTCTCATAGTACTTCTAGCAAAAAAACATATAGTTCTAGAATCACTCAATGAAACTCGAGCATCATGAGTCACCAGATTCCACACTACATAATGAAATTATATGGCAGCTAGGATTGTCATTTTGTCATCCACGTGCATCATATGTTTTCCAACACAATTCTACAATCACAAAAAATAATCAATCTCATGAATCCAAGCCACACAATATTAACATTTAACTACATTAATCAACCAACAAGACCAAATATCACTCCACTAATTTTTAATAAAACCAACCTCTATAAGGTTTACCGTATTTCACTACTAAAATCCAAGTATCCAACATTGTAATCCAAGTTACAACCACAAGCGTGAACTTGAGTAACTTTTATGCACAAGATTTCAGGATTCCAAACTAACTTAACGGAATTGAAAGTGAAATGGAATTTCCGGACCAACTTAATGAAACCCAATCGGAGGTAGGGTACCAGATCATTGAACGAAACCGAATAAGGAAAAGGATTCTAGACCACTCAACAGAATCCAGCTAGGAAGTTGTTGCCATTGCAAATATGCTAAGCAAAACCATAGGCATAGTCTAATAGTATAGGTAGTGATCACCCATCGCTGATACACCAAGCATAATCACTCATAGAATACGTACGATCCTCCATCGAGGATATATCAAGCAGGATGGTATCCTATAATACTAGGTGATCACCTATTGTGAATGTACCAAGCATGATTGTTCCTAGAATACGTATGGTCCCCTATCGTGGATATACCAAGCAGAACCATAAGCATAGTCTAATAGTGTATACAGTGATCACCCATCACATATATACCAAGCAAGATCACCCAATGCGGATGATCCTCCATCACGAATATACTAATCAGAACCATAGGCACATATCCAAAAGTATGGTCTTCCATTGCAGATTAACCATGTAGGACCACTTATGGGAACAAGGTTACCAAATAGGCAATGACCACCAATGCGGATTAACTAAGCAGGACCATCTATAAGTACCATGTACCTAAGCAGGCAGTGACCCTCTACTGTGGAACTAAGTAGAGTTGCCCCTATAATACGTATGGTCCCCCAATGCGGATTAACCAAACAAAACCATAGCCATGCATCAAATGTAGTGGTCCCTCAATCGGATTAACCAAGCAGGACCACTCATATACCACATTGCTACATGGTTCAGTTATATCATCATACATCACATATCATACATCCTACATCATGCGTCGTATTTCATACAACAATACAACACGAATCACAATTGTAAGCACACACACTATCGATTCCATATGACAAACCTGTAGAATTATCAAAGACAAGGGCCAAAGGCCCACTTCCAACAACACCGATATTGTTCCCAACTTGATAATTACCACCTGCATAATTCGTCAGTGTGAGGTTTTACCATAAAAGGCTTTGGTACTGGTTAGAGTGAGGTTAGCATATTTAAACTCTTCTTTTCACCAAGATACGATCGATGTGATATATTTCAACAAAACCAAATATCTTATCATAAAGACATACAAGTCGTACATGATACTTTAAATATGTACTTCGCTCATCTTTTCATACTAGCACTCACACATATTGTTTATATCATCTAGAAGTTTAACAAACACGTAAATCAACGGTAAGGTGCCACTTTTATGCAAACCAAGGTGCACATCTCCAAAATGGCCTGTTGATTAGAGTAGGTCCGCCAAACCCTATTAGGTCTCTAGTAATACTAATTCTAGTATTTAAGAGTGATTCAAGACATTTGACCAAAAGTCAGCCCTCAATCAACGTAGTTAACGGTAGGGTCAACAACCTTACGTAGTCCAATCTGGAAGATCTGCACATCAGATTTGATCGTAACTTCCTAAGATCCTCAAATATTACGCATAAGCACTTATTATAATTTCATGATAAACCAACAACTGGACCTTCGTCTACAAAGGTCATGTGGCCTCATTATGAAACCAGGTTCGATTGGTCAAATTTCATCAAACTGATATCAAAATCAGATTCAACGCACCAAATTTAGCCTAGGAAGACAAGATAGGTCATCGAGGCCATGAGCCACTGCCAAGCGGTAGCAGGTGCCGCAGGCTTGCTGGATTTTCCAACTAACACCAAAATGACTCAAATACACCAAAATGAATATCTCGAGGAGTAGAGCAAGAGTTATACCTTCACCGGAGTCTAGTTTTGCCCCAAAAAATCCTGAAATCAACAAGGGACCATCAGAAATCTTCAAAATCGGTAAATGTCGATTTGACGTTACCGGTGCTTTAACAACTTGAATTGTGGTTGGGTTTTGATGTTGGGATGAAGATGAGTCGATTGGTTGTGGTGGATGACGTTGGCATGCACGGAGGAGGACGATCACCGCTGGCGAAAATCTGGGAAAAAGGTGAAGCTCGACTTGCCGTGAAAATGAGGCCAAATAGGGCAACCTTGGGGTATTTCTTGTTCATGAGGGTGAGACAGTTTAAATGGTGGTGGAGGGGGCAGATTCCATCC